TATTTTAAAGACATTGCTGGCTGTCTCTCACCGCAAATCTCAGTGCAGTGTGAGGTGACGTAGGTGCAGATGTAAGTTCTCCTCCTTCCTCGCTGTGCTCTGGTGCCAAGGTCGGAGTCTTATGTGCCTGAGATGCTGGATCACTGTGCATGGCCATGATATGGCGTTCACGCTCACATTTGCTGCATTTGACTGTGACCTTACAGTCCTTAGCTAAATGAGAGACTGAAGCACAACACCGGTAGCATATCCTCTTTTTGTAAAAGATGGCTTTTCTCATCAAGTGGTTTTGCTCTGAATCCACAACACTGCCATAATGGGTGTGGTTTGTGACAGATTGGGAAGATTTTACCTGGATTCTCATCTTGTTTTGATGGGATGTTCTTGTTGAGTTGAGAGTCTGGGTGTATTGTTTAGCCCCATGGTGGAAGGAGGAGACATGGACATGGAATTCTTCACCTGGTGCTTCAATTTATTTTTTCACCAGATTCGTGGAAAGTGCAGTTGTGCAAGTGAATTACTGCAAAAATATATATCAAAAATTAACAAAAACAAACAATGAGGAAACTAAGTATAAACAATTCAAATTATCATTACACACTGATATTAAATGACTCCACACTCCATCACTTCTTGTTTGCCCCTTCGGCCACAAGCAGTGTCTAGGAATAACGACCCAAGTAGCTTCAGTCTGCAAATGAGGATGGTTACCTACCTGGGTTGTTCTGTTGCTAATGTGGGGCAGAACAATGTTGTCTATCCCATTCTTATTTAGATCAGTATAATTTTTTACACCGACATTTACTCAACTGGTTGTTTCCTCAGCGTCACAATTTAAATCTCTACTGTGGTCGGACACTAGGACCTTGAGGGAGGCTGCAGTGCTTCTCTGCCGAGCAATGTTAGACACTGACACGCACAGGTGAAAGGAAGAAGGACGATTGATTCCACCTATTGAGTGATACATAGTGAAATTGTAAGTTGTTGTAAATATCTTAATGAATTGCTTAAATTAATCCCCAAAAGTCGGTACTAGGGGACGACAAGCGATTTTCGTGCAAAATGCCGAATGGGAAATTCATGGACGATCCTATTATTTTGTCACCCTATCCATGCCACACACCTCTGTGAAGCTAGGAGGCTCAGCTAGATTCTCAAACCAACCATTTTTATCCATACCAAACACACATCAAACACCAAGCATCTAAATGAGCTTATATCACAACATTAATCGCTCTGTAAACACTGTACATGCCTGCAGTTATTGCCATCCAAATATCTCATCATAACAGAGCAGTCCGACCACTCTAAAGAAAGTTCAGCTCCAGCTCTGATCAACTGTGTAACTCATATCACTCAAATCACCAAACTCACAGTGTTATTAGCTGGATAACAATAACAACAAATGCACCAATATACATACAGTTACAACCACTGACTTACTTTTGTTGTTTTCGCTGTTATCCATCCAAAAATAGCTGAGTTGTTGACAAAAACGCTTCGGCGATGCCATCTTGTTATTGCGCAATACGTCTGAGCTTTTACACTTACTATAGTTCTCAAGTTGTTCGCCTGTAAAGCATGGGATGTCTTTCGGGCATAGGAATGTTGATGAATATTCACTGTTATATTGCAATATTTCAATGTTTTGGAAGCTTTATGTTATTTGGAATGTGGTTGTATGGGCAGAAATAGTGTTTTGAAGAAAACTCCCAATAAAAGTGAACATATAAACAGTAAATATGGTCAAAACATGGATATTCGCCTGGTATATTTTTGAAAAATTTATATTAACTAACTGCATATTGCTTTCTTTTCATCATTTTACAGTTACAGTTGTATTCCAGGTGTATTAGAAGATATTCAGTTGCATTATAATCTGCAGGATGATTGTTTTGATGGTGATATTGCTATTAAAATATAGATTTTATACCAGCTAGGGAAGGTCGTGTCGCAGACACTGATTGGCGTCGCCAGTAGCGCCGAACGTGTGTTAACGTTTCACCCACACACGCCGTCATGCAGACTCTGTGCAGACTAGTCCCAGCTCTCAGTGAGTGAACACGGCAGCTGGACAGGGACAGAGTAAAGCCCCCCAGACTGACAAAGTCCAGTTTGACCACTGGGAATACAGTAACGTTACCGAGATGGTTTTCTTGCCAGGTTTGGCTCTTGGCACCCCGGGGCTGAGTAAGCTAATAGAACCGCTAGCAGCATGGGTAACCGACCAAGCTAACCAGCCACAGATACAGGCAGATCTGTGCTACAGTTAATGGTTATGCCAAAAGTAAAGCTAACTATATCCATCAAGATGCTCTGTGTAAGTCATCTCAGTACTGGATTCCCTGTTGGTCTTTGAGGCTGTGTTCAGCCCTTTTCATGCTGTGTTCACTGGGAGGCTGCTGAGCGAATTGCCGGCTCGCCCAGTGCCGTTCCGGTTCACAATCATCAGGCGCTGCACCCCGCCATCATTCCCTGCTGCCCCCCCGCCCCTGTCCTGAAAACCTCTGGTGCTTGGGTAAAGGTGTAAACACCACAGTCTACGGTAAACACAAATACTCCCAGTGCTCCGAGCTCCCAGTAAGGGCAGAGTGAGCTAATCTGACCAATGCTTTCACAGCTAACTGAGCTTATAACAGCAGCTGGCTGTTAACTAACTTCAACAACAAGTAAAGCTATCTGTCCATCAGGAAACTGTAAATCAGAGAGTTGAGGCAGAGCAGCAGGGGACATCAGAGAGAAAACTAGAAAATTTCTCCATCAAACATGATCCAGTTTCACCAAAATCAGTGAAAAAAGTTATTTTTGTACAGTATTCAAATCACTGTGCTTCAGCAGCATTATATTGAGAAATCTTTGCATTGGACGCTAATACAAGTACAGAATGAGTCAACAAACAAACAAAAATTTTAAAATGGTTTTCCAAATGACAAACTCTTAAATGTCATCACGAATACCTATAAAAAACAACGTTTTTGTCAACGTCATTGATGCGCCAGATACTGCCATAGTGGTGACCAAAAGTAACTAGAAGTAATCAGATTACATTACTTTTATTTTGTAGTACTTCGATTACGTTACTGATTACATTTTTGAACAAGTAATTAGTAATTGTACTGGATTACATTTTTAAAGTAACCCTCCAAACTCTGGCTATAGGTTTGTATATGCATCTAGGCTTAATGGTTGAAGAGTTATTCCTGACTGATTTTGGGTGAGCTAGCGTGAATGGCTTTAATATTAACAATATCTTTAGTTTTTCAAAACAATATCAGTCCCAATAGAATGTTGTTGTCATTGAAAACTAAATGTCAAAGTGTCCCTGTTAATGCTATTGTACCGGTATATCCTTCAATTCATTGACCAGATGGGTATTGAAAGAGAGAAGCAGGAGATTGGCAGGGCAGCTGATTCTGAGGGAGCCAGTGTGATTGAGGTCAGTACAGGACCAGGTCTACTGGTCTAAGGAAATGTGGGGTGTTTTGTTTTCTTCTAACAATAGGCATTTGTTAGCAGGTTTACGCACCAAGGCATAGCTTAAATTAAATTAGTTCATGATATTTATTATACATGCTATATTCTGACCAACTTAACTTTCTACATTCATTGGCTGTAATAAATTAAATAAATAGGATGTTGCCTAAAGGGGCTAGGATATACATGAGCATTTTCCCAGAGATATACACACTGCAAAATATAATAAAATGACAGCAACCATACATATGCATCAATACATATAGTAATTGTTTCTCCAAATCTTTTACTCCTTCAAGTTATTAGATTCAAACAGTAGCTATTTTAAACAGGATCCTTATTAACAGATTACATTATAAAATATTATTGTAAGTAAGACAAACTACAGAGCAAAATCAAACTGTGACTGAACCAATCTGCATTGCAGAAACAGTAATTAGTGTAATTAAATAGCATTCTTTGGACCTGGAATTTATGGAAAGAGGAATTAGATATGGTTTTATTTAATCACACATTTACATGAGCAGACAGACAGCATTTAAGTCATAATCTACAGAAGTACTCAGCAGCAGCAGTCTGACCTAAGAAAATTCCCCCCATGCAGCTTTGATGTGTCTAAAAGCTAACATTACGGTAACTTTTGTAAACAGAGGAGAAATGGAAGAAGAGAATATTTTAACATCTTGTCTTCTTCACTGGTTGTTGACATAAGTGTAGTTCTAATCCATCAACAAAAGATACAACTGCAAAGATTTTGCAAGCACAAGTTACGCATTGCCTGGGGGCCAAGCCCTCCCTGTCTTTCAATCCTAGTGAAGTCCCTGCTAATGCCTGTTTTGTAGTAGACAAAAGGCATTGCCAATAGCAACATAGAATGTTTATCTAAATGTTAATAGCACAAAGATGAAAAAAATGCATTCCCTATAGGGCCAAATTTTACTCACTGGCGCTTAGGTATAAATGGCCATTTTTTAAATCTGTCTTTAACAGTTTTTAACAATAGGGGGAGCTACATAACACACTTTTAGGAAAAGACAGTATTTTATTCAAACAAAGTTACATACAGTGGGGGAAATAAGTATTGAACACGTCAACATTTTTTCCAGTAAACGTATTTCCATCGTGGATATTCACATGAAGGTTTCACTAGACTTTGGTATTAACTCAAGAAATCCACACATATAAAGAAATCCAAACATTAAAGACCACAAATAATTATGTTCAATAGGGAAAAAGTATTGAACACGCTTAGAGAAAGCAGGTCTCCAAGGCAAGGTAAGGCAAGGAACCAGCTGAAATCCATCAATAGTTAGTAGAAAGTGATTATACCTCCAATCAGTGCAAAGTAATACCAGCTGGGTTATTAATTTGACGGTTTACAAAAAGGCTTTTTCTGATGATGGGTAAAAGTAAGAGCTTTCCCAAGACCTTCGCAACCTTATTGTTGTGAAATACTGTATATTGATGGAGTTGGATACAGACGTATTTCAAAACTTCTGAATCTACCAGTCATTGGGGCCATTCCACCAGTGGAAGCAGCATGACTGAGTTGTCATCAATCAGCCACGCACAGGAGCTCCTCGCAAGATTTCTGACCAGGGAGTCCAATAGTCAGAAGAGTAGCTCAAGACCCAAGGACCAATCGGAAAGAGCTAAGGAAACACTTGGAGGCAGCAGGTAACATTGTCACAGAGAAAACAATAGGCAATGCACTCCAATGCCATGGCCTCTATATACTGTATGCTCATATCCAAAGCATACAGCAAAGGAAACTCTCAATTGGTTTCACAGAAAAAGAATCAAGGTGTTGGAATGGCCCAGTGAATCACCAGAATTGAATCCAATTTAACATTTGTGGAAAGAGCTAAAGACCAAGGTTCACAAGAGTGCCCCCCGGAATCTTCAAGATTTAAAGACATTATGTTAAAAAGAATGGGCCAAAATTACACCTGAATACTGCGGCCGATTAATTTCTTTTTACAGGAGGCGTTTGGAACCTGTAATTTTTAAAGTATGTAAGTATTAATAAATTTAAGTTGCCGTGCTCAATACTTTTTCCCTGTGTCATTCCACTTTATTACACAGAACTTTATTTATGGTCTTCAATGTTTGGATTTCTTTATATGTGTGGATTGCATGAGTTAATACCAAAGTGTGGTGAAACTTTCAAGTGAATAGCCCCATTGGAAATATGTTTAGTGAACAAAATGTTGATGTGTTCAATAGTTTTTTCCTCCACTGTACAATCAAAAGACAGATGCGGACCCCTTACAAGTACCTCAAAGCTCTCAGCTGGCCCCAGCCCACCAAAAAGACTTGGTAGAAGTGAGCAGTCAGTTCAGGGATTCTTTAATAAAGGCACTCTGTTTCATCTAAATTGTCTCCGGGTCTCCTGTTTTATTGTAGCCTGACATCGCCAGACTAATTTGCATTTGTGAATTAGTCTGGAACCTCTCAGTTCCTTTTCAATTTCCAAAGGGTATTCCTTTCCCATAAATTCTATAATTAAAGAACACTTTGTCTGCGTTCAGACTGCAGGTAATAGTGGCCCGAATTTTTTTCTCATGTGACTCAGACAGTGTGAACAGCCCAAGTCACATGGAATCTGATCTTTTTCAGTTTGGTTTTGGGCCACTTTCATATGTGGTCCAAATCAGGTCAGATTTTTTGAAATGTGACCTGAGTCTGGACAGTCAGATTGGAGCCGAGGTGAACAAAGCCATTATTTAACATGTGGCTCTTTCTTCTCTACCTCGTTATCATCTGCTCAAAAATTCCCTTTCTCCCACCTGAAATCCAACGTGCATGCTACTTGTCCAAGCGGAAACGAGAGAGAGAGAGAGAGAGAGAGAAGGGCGGGGGGGGTTAGAGAGAGAGGTGGGGACAGATTTGCGGGACAGATTTGCAGGGCATATGCATTGTACAGCACCAGAAACAGTAGCCTAATGAATGCCAAGGACAGAAAGTTGTGAACATTTGTCATAATTCGTTAAAACATCGTTTTCTTCTGTGCACCTGGGTCACCTGCAGGCCTCGGACAGTTCACATTTCAGTCTGATATGAGCCACATTTAAAATATAATGGGAACTCTCAATAAAAAAAAAAAAAAGAAATTGCCCATTAAGGCCTGTAGTGTGAACGTAGCCTTTGTATCACACGAACTGTCTCCAGGTCCCCTATGTTACTGTACCCTGGCATTGCCAGACTAAATCATATTTGTGTATTTGTGAATTAGTCTGGAACCTCTAAGCTTATTTTCGATTTCCACTGGATGAAATTGGATAGACTTAAAACCAATCAGAGCAAAGAAACGTGTGATTTAGCATAGTTGGTAAATTAAACATACCAAATCTTGTCGTTAGTACGGCAAACACATCTTTCAAATACCTCACATACTACAGAACTTTGATGTACTATTGATGCAGTTCTCTAACTTTCTCACATGTCTAGACCACCCCTCGAGGTTGACCAGAGAGCGGTTGTTTGGTCCGCACCAGATATCAAGTTTGGCGTTCACACCGATCTTTAGAGAAAATATACCTTTAAGTTCGATTAATACTGACAAGATAACAGATTCAACAGAACCAGCTCCAGCAGCAGCAGCAACAATATTGGTTGTTTATGAAAATGTCTTAACAGTGCTCCTCTGTCAGTCATAATATCAAACTTGTCCCATATTAAATAAACGTACCTGACCCGATTAGAACCAGGTCTCTGAATGGGAGGGGGCAATAAGTAACTGCCAGAGCAAATAAAACATGAGCTTGCAGACTCGTCTGGATCACCACAAGGTCTGGATGTCTGTCCGTCCGGAATGGTGGTCATCCCTTCAAAAGAGTTGCATAAACTGACCAAGGAGCACTGAAGCTTTTGTCACCCATCTGCATATCATAATGCGCTCATGCCAGATTTCTGATATACTCTGTTTTAATATATTACATGATGAAGTTATAATGTGTTTATAACATTCTTATGATGTAAATAGGCATATAAACAGATGTTACCAGATGCAAATGTGATGACGTCTGTCCAGTCTCTTTTCTAACAAGCTGAATTCCGGCCAATTATTTTGAGCTGAGAGTCCTTTTAAGTAATGATGCATTTAAAAATGCTAATTAGAAGTTTACAGTTTGTTTGTCACTTACCGTAGGGAGGCGGCAGGACAGAACGCCGACACCACTGTGTTACACTACACACCCCTTTTGCTTACAGAATGCTGGCATGCTATCTAAAATCACACATTGTTTGGTTAAGTGTAAAATAGCAAAGCCAGCATAATGACGGGTCTTCTTTATGGCAGGTTTGTGCGGTCTCTGTTTAAAAAAGGACTTGGGAAGAATAGCTTCTGTTTCAACCAACATTGCCGGATGAAAGCAGGTCAACCTCAAATTAAAGTAGGAGCATTTGGGACACAGTATGACATTCAAGTCTCGTTTAGTAAGTCCAAACAATAAACTTGGTGTTGTTTCAGAGAGGAGTGAACCCTCCTCTTCACACTGAGCACTGTAGAAGCCTACCAGCACACGCTGCCACTGTATTATTCACTCAAACAAACCTGATTTGAATGTTAATCCTATTAAAGTCACCATAATAACAGCCTATGGCCTTTTACATAACACAACAAATGCGATTATGTTTTGTGTTGCATTCCTCCTCTGCCTTTCAGAAAATCCTGTTCCACACTCCAAAAACCAGACCACTTGACCCAGAAAAGGCTCCATCCAAAGAAAGAAACCACAATAAAACACAACCTTTACGCAGAGTCATGATAACATGTTCTGCAATTTACTATTCATTACTAGAGGCTGAAAGCAACATGTCTTCAAGATCACAGGATGCACTGTGAGAGACGGGCTGCTCCACTGACACTGTTAACGTAAACTGTCAATTATTTTAAATAGGGTACCAATAAATAATGAACATACAAAGCATTGCTAGAACTTTTCAACTTATGATAAGGTCGACTTTTCTGTATTATACATTCTTTACTCTAATATTCTAATATTTTGAGATATGGATTTTTGATTTCCATGAGCTGTAAGCCATAAAACACAACAAAAAATTAAAATTTTCTGAGATGGACCTCTAGATGGCATTGCCCTGGCCTGCCGCACCCCCATTAGGAATCTTGGAGTTATCATTGATCAAGATATGCAGGTATGCTGGTCTCCAAACCACGTTTTGTCAAGAAAACACGTAAAATGTTAAACAGGAAATGACGCAAACCGACACACAAAACAGCTGTTGTTTGTTATTATAAGATAGCAATTATAAAGACAAAGAATATGGATGAAAGAATGGATTCGCACACACAGGTAGCAGGGATTGTCTGTGCTACAGAGAGAGCTGGAGGGGAGTAGAAAGGTGAGCCGATAGCTCGCTGAGATCACAGTCTGACGGTTGCCGAGCTCGCTGACTGGCAAATCGAGCTTAAAAACGTGTAGCGTGAACTAGGCTTTAGTTACGCTGCTACAGGCCTAGACTGCTGGTGGACTTCCCATAAGGCATTGAGCACCTCTGGGTTTACCCTCCCTTGCATCTCTGCACATCAAAATATATTTCAAGTTAACATTTCAAACTTCTTGCAGCTTTGCGGTGACCATTTACATTGAAAGCTGTTATGACATGTTTAAGGACTGAGCATTTGCTGACTGAGCATTTGCTTGCACCCAGCATCACAACTGTGATGCTGGGTGATGAAACAGACAAACAGGCAAATGGGGGGGGGGGGCAGTCTGATCTTTGTTCGCACAGAGCGACTCACTTGGCCAGCTTCATCTCTATCTGCTGCCGGATTTCCTGCCGCTCCTGGTCGCTGCGTACAGGGAAGATGTTGCGGTCCTCCAGCTCCTGCTTGCTGGGCCGGTTCCGAAGCTTCACAGCCAGCAGCTCCTTCCTCATCCTGCGTGGGAGGGTCCCTGTTGTTGTTCAGCACAAATTAAGGTCAATAATGGTTTTTGAGCTGCCAAACATAGTTTCCCAGCTAAACCTGCTCAACTGATGTTAATCACCACACAGCGTTCTTTTGTGCTTTCTCGTAAGATCTAATACCTTATTAATTAAATAAGTCTACAAACCCATTTCAACATGTTCACGTATGCAATTAGTTTTAGATTTAGAACTTACTTTTATAATGTATTTAATGTTATTTATGTATCAGTATAAAAATATATAATATGTATAAATTAAAACATAGTAAATACCTGAATACATTTTATTCAAGCCTGTGTAGAGGCACCTTTGACAGCAATCACAGCCTTGGACGTTGCAATTTTCCCCCCATTAATTTCCTGTTTTCTGAAAATTCTGCGATGGACTGAGGTTTGCACTCAGTCCAATGGCTGCTTTGGCCATTCTAGGACATTACCACCGTTGTTTTTCAGCCATTCTTGGAACGCTTTGGCTTCATGTTTAATAATGCAGTAGCATTATCGCGTCCACTGTGTTAACTTCCAATTTACGCTAACTTGAAGTGGGATAAAATGATAATCGTGCGGTTCTTGTAGACTTTTCAAATGTTATCGATCAAATGGATTTTAATTTTTAAAATGGATTAAAATTTCAGACAATCATCAGTATAAATGCGCAACTAATGATTTTCACCCACACACTGTGCGAGCACGGCAACCCTCAAGGCTTGGCTAGCTTCCTTTCCTCATTCTTCAAAGGACATGTACATGACAGGTGCTGTTATAAGATATGTCATATGGTGCCAGTGTGCACCACGTGACGGACCCGGGAGTTATAATTCCACAATTTGACCACTATGTCAAATTGACGTTGAATTGTCGAATTGATGAGAATGAGTTACTATGGTTACAGAGATGCTCTGTGTCTCTGTCACTGTGATACTTGGTAGATATGCAGCTGACTTTGTAGTAATGATATCGCTTCGTTAGTCGTCGTTTTTTAACAGATAATGACAAGATAATGTGAAATAAGTTGAGTAAAATGACAAAAATGTTCAACAGAAGCTAATGACTAAAAAAGACCAAATGTTTTCATTGACTGACAAACACTAGCCAAAATGCCATGTTAGTTTTCAGATGTCAGAGGCTTTCTATGTGTCAATCTGCAAGAAAGCTACAATAGTGAAGCAATTGTGTCTCCCGTCTCAGAACCCTGCTGCGTATTTATAGAGTTGCCTGGTGGAAGTGATTTCTCCCAGAAACAACAGCTGTATTCAAAACCGCCTACTATACTAGCTGTACGCACTGATTTAGCCTGACTGTTGCATGTAGAATGCAAACAAAAGCTAAATCTGCAGAGTGATAACAATACCCGGATGTCGTGCTGATTTTGAAAATAATCTCCAGTATTTTCACTCAGAAGTTAAAAATTCCCCCAGATGTCACTGGACAGGTGTTGCATGAAGCAATGAAGAAATTTATCCTAGGGCAAATAATATCTCAGAAAACACAACTTTTTTTATCTTGGTCTGTAATGGCCCTAATATGCCATCGTATATTACAAAGGTATAATTCTAAATGTTATATTTTGCATGGCATCTCAAGTTGAGAGTTATGTTTGGAATGTTAAAGGCACATTAAAACAATCATTACACATGAAGAAGGGGGGTGATTGTTTTTAATAAGACACTGCATATGGCTTATTGTACCTTCTTTTAAAAAAAATATAAAATGTATCACATGTTTAAAGTTCAATATAAATAAAGTTACATTAAATTAAGTTTTAAAGTTTGGGGGTTATAGCCAGTTTTGTTTACAACCGCATCAGGTGATTTGTGATAAAGGCCTAGCCAGCAAATGATAGCTCACTACAATTAGGAGCTAAATTAGCCTTGTTACAGGGCTGACAGCAAGAAAGATGGAGGGTAGGAAACACGAGAAAACAAGAACAAGAAGAGAAGATAATTGTACACTGTTTTAATGAAATGTTCAATGTGGAAATATATGAAGATTTTTGAGCATAAACACTTAATTTCATGCATTCTGGTGATATTTTCTGCCACGGCCTAGTGGCAAATATAGGTTCTGGTAATTATGGCTGGGTAATATGGCCAAAAATGTTATCACAATAAAACTTTTCATGTCATTCAATATCTATTATTCTAATGATAAATGTCAAATCATTATTTCTTTCAAGTTTAAAGGCAGATTTTTGCTCCGGGGTGAAAGTTGAAAAAAACAGATGGTTAATTGTGGCTTTAAACTATTTTTTATGGTCAGAATAAACACTTGATACTTTTTTTGAATGACACCTCAATTGACCCAATAGAAACTTCCATGTCCTGTCCACAGCCTACAATAGCCAATGAGTGTCCACGTGGTCGGGAAGTACCAGTCCCCTTTCTTTCGTGTGTACACCGACAGAGAGAGCCACCACAGGAGAGGAAGACTGGCGCTTCACACACACACACACACACACATATCACACGACAGTAAAAAAAAATATGCAAGAATATTTTCCACAGATATTTGTAATACAAAAACAGCCCGCGCCGGAATTCCGCCACAGTGCCAGAGAACTTTAAGCCCTGCTTTGTTAGCATAGCACACCTGAAAAATATTTTAAATCTACTCTCTTTTCTCTGCTGCCATCTCCTCCACCACTCCCACTTTATAGAATACAACAGTTCAAACAGACATCTGTAGAAACTGATATTAGTTTATTACGATGCCAACACCTGAGAACATGACTCATTTAAAAGTGATAGGCTGTCTTATAAAAGGGTGTTAAAATTCATTTTAAATTGTTCAATAACAGGAGATCTATATTTGTGTGGATATATTAAGTATGTCTGTCGTTCATGTTCTCAGCCCCCCCCCCGAGTTACAAACATGTTAATCGCAGACAGCTGTGCACCAATGACCCATATGATGTTCTCAGTGTAAATCCGTAAATATCAGCAGAGATAATGCTGCTCTTTATCCACTGACGGAGTATTTTGTTGGCTTTGTGAATTAAGAGGCAGATAATAGTAGAGCAAATATTACACCAGTGTCAGCAGACCTACCAGAGATCACGGACTCGTTCCAGCTGTCCTGGTCGCTCAAGTATTCGTCCAGACGCCAGTTCTCTTTGTTCTCATCAGACGACTTCTTGCTCTCCGACTCCCCAGCAGGCTCCCTGTCTGTGCTGGACGTGCGGGACAGACGGCCATCCAGCCGGCGTTTCAGAGACGAGTGTGCCTCCTTGGTATGGAAACTGAGATCACACATCACAAAACAAGCCTGTCGGTTACAACTTGATTATACCATGGCCAGGACTGGTTGGAAGGTACGGATTAACTTTAAGTAACCAGACAGTATACTCTAACGTTGATTGCAGATATAAAAGCATGCGCCAGTATTAAATGTTGGTAAAGAAAGCAACAGCTTAAGATCTTAGTTCTAGGGTTATTAGTGTAACCACCACTAAAAACAAGCAAAACCTAGGATAAACATCTTCACAGTGAGAACCACGCAAATTTTATTTCCAATGTGTTTGAATGTTTATTTAAAATATACAGTATACTGAAAGGATTTCACACAAATGAAATGAACAAAGAAAATCCCATTTGTTTTGGTAGAATGACGTTATCACTGAGTAAAATGTAAGGAATTTTTCTTTATAAAATTAACAATTTAGCAGATGTCGGTTAATCCCTGTGCCTGATATTATGATGTGTACCACAATATGTGATTAACCATGTGATCACTTGAGAGTTGCCCTTTAAGGTTACTTTTATACTGTCAGTAGAAATAAGCGGCTTAATAAATATGTCATATTGTTGCACACTCAGCAAATACATTTTTTAAGTTGGCTCTTTCATTAAATAAATGAAAAGGTAGAATCAATCAGATCAAAACAATTAATTGATTAATTAATTAGTCACAGCCAATGATAAGCCTCTCAAATGCGAAGTTTTGCTGCTTTTCTGTGTTTTATATCATTTGTGTTTATGGACTTTAAGTCAAAACAAAACAAGGCATCTGAAAATGTCATCTTAAGCTCTCAGAACTTGTGAATAACAATCGACAGGTTAATCATTGGTGAAAAGAACTGGTATGTACAGCACTCATCAGTAGTCTTATTTACAGATGTATGTTGCCGTTTCCATATTTTGTGTGTGTGTGCTATGCACAAATGTGGGTCGTAGGACTGGATTATTATGTTCTGCGAACAGGGCCTTTTAATGGTCTAATGTGGCCATAACATTCATTGATCATTTATTAATGGATCTGTATGTAAAAAATGTATGCAAATGTGTCATATATCCCATGTGATAACACCTACACAATAGAAACTACACAAACAAATGCAACCTCAGACCTGTCCTGTCTATGTTTAGTGGCCAGGGCACGGTGCAGTTCCTCAATGATGCAGCTAGGGGGCAGCTGTTGGTGTAGTGACCCGAGGTGAGGGGACCCAGTAGGTGTGGAGATCCTGCCTCGTAACAGGGAGCCATGCGGGTCTTTGGGAAGTGTGAAGTTCCTGGGTAAGGTGGCTGGGGATTTCTTAACGGGCACTGAAGGACCGCCTGGGAAGGAAAGTCATCTCAGTGAGACACTGCTGCAAGCCAGTGAGGCGCTACATTGTGGATCTCCTGTTCAACTTACTGTCTAGACTGCCCAGTCTGGTGAGCAGTTTGACTGGCAGGCTGGGCAGAGTAGAGGTGCTGGCTCCTCTCTGGGGCTGGGCAGTTGTCACCTCCTGTTTACCTTCAACAGCCTCCACCTTCCCCATTGACTGATCATCACTAGGGTCACTTAGTGAGGTGCTTTCATCTCCTCCATCTTCACTCTGACCGAGATCTACTGTCATGTGTGAGTCTTCAGTGACATCTTGTACTGAAATGAAACGTCAGCAATGGTAATGAAAAGGTTTAATTTGTTTAGGAAGTCTCTGTCTCCACCAAGTGGACAGTCAGAGACAGGTGTTTTAAACTGACGGCTTAAATCAGAAACATGAACTACAATAAAGAACAGTATCCAATCTTGATTTACAACAATTAAAAGTGGCATTTTTCAAAGGGGAAAATCCAAGGGTTTATCCATGGACCGCCTGTTTGTGTTGGATTGGTTTACATACAATAAATAATGTACATACAAAAACAGGACAAATAAAACTGTAACAATGACTGAACTACCACTAGATGTGCTCAGTGACAGGAAATCTGCACAAAAAGAGAAATCTGGACGTAAGAACGTCTGCACCTCTTCATTACCTCTGCCACCACTAGACAAAGAAGAACAGTTTACAGTTTAGTGACAAGGCTTATTCACTACTCACCCCACACTAAGTGTGTGAGATGGTAAAATAAATATAAAATATTTAGGAGACTACTACTTCATCCAACAGCTGTTTAAACTGACCGTTTTTCCCCTGTCTGCAAAATGCATGATGGAAGTTAGCTCTGAGTGAGCTCTTGTGGACCATTTTGTACTATGCACCACGGGATCATTTAAGTCCCAAATTATATAGGGTGCACTAATTCTCACTAGACATTGGGACATTTTCTACTTCAGCATGTGTAATTGCCTAGGGACGCTTTACTTATTAAACATAAAAAACCTCAAGAAGTGCTGTTCTCTATATACTTGTACTCTGGAAACTATATTTTCTCTCAGACCACAGTACTGTACTCTTACCTGTTGAGGCTTCTAAATCACTGCCCAGGTCTTCACTGGTGCTGGCCAGGGGTGCCACGGGCTCCTCATCTCTGTCCTCACTATCAGAGTGAGTCGGGGTGTCTGGATCTTCACCGTTGCAACCACATGCAAGATCTGACTCTGTATACAGTGCACAGTGGAGGAGGACAGGAATGAGTCTACATAGCAGTTGGGAATCATGTGGCTGAACAGGTGAACTCAGTGTTTGTGTTCATTCCTCATTTTGCACCTGTCTCAGTGTCCCTGGGGTTCCGCCTGTCGAGGTCATCTCTCTTCTGCCGTACAGCTGCCTTCTTCTCCACCACTAAACAACAGACAAGCATTTATGAAACCTGTCCACTTTCCCACAAAATGAGAACATGCGAAGCAGCCTGGTCTATTTGCAAATACAGCCCCCCCCCTGTTCCTATTCCCTGAGTGATTCCCAAACCAGCCAGCATTTACTGCATCTGACAGAAGCCTGAGTCTATGTCACACTCACTTGCCGGGGGCTTCAGCTTCTCGTTTTTCTTTTTCCTCCATTTCCAGGGTTTGAAGATGCGTCCTAAGCTGGCCAGCTTGCTGTTGCGGCGGATGGGAGGCGTCCGAACCCCTGAAACCAAGCAACCTGAATGCAGCGCCCTCTGCTGGTCCATCAAATCTACAACACAAAACAAACGGAGCTCCCTTAACATAGGCTGCAGGCAACAAAATCCATCGTGAACACGGGTCTCCATCAACGCTCAGATGTGGTGAGGACTGAACGTATTTCTTAAATCACTTCTAACACAAATGGCTGAACTACTGACACACCACCATCATGTGAGGGTAGCAAATGTGGGTCACTGGCTGTGAATGCCTTATTGATTCCGGTCTAATTTCTGAGGAGAAGCGAGAGGACAAAGAATTGCATTGTTTGTGTGTGACTCACGTTGTTTCAGGGAAGCCAGACCTTCCTGGTCACAAACACACAGACAATAGAATGCTTTTAAAAACATCTTGAATGCACACGCAGAGAAGCAATAAAATCAGCTTCACCACGACTGCTTTTTCTAAGGTCAAAGCAGACATCTGCAGCCTGCGTCCCCACGGATTTAACACTATTTTAGACTGCATACTTATCATGGTGACATACACAAGAATCTGTAGCACAATTTAACATCATACAGTAGTGTCATAATTGTATAAATCTTACATGCTACTACTGGCAGACTGGCATTTTTCATCATCTCATGTCTCCATGTTTATTTTTGTTGTCCTGTATTTGTTATTTTTGGGTACTGACAAGCATTTATTCCAGTGTTTCGGAAGGCCTAGTTGTGGGTAAGGTGTGTTGTAGTTAAGGTTTTGGCATTTTCATATAAAGCTTGATAGTATTTGTATATATGAAGGCCCCCCAGCCTTTTCCTCTGTATCCTCTCTTGCATTGAATGCTGTTGTCCTCTCTGTGTTTGTGTGGCCTGTCCTCTTCGCAGGTCTGTATGATGAAGAGGAGGTGGTGTGGCTCATCCTACTTAGTGGGCGACACCTGAAGCTGCTCATTTGTCCTCCTGCAATCACAATATCACGAGATCCCGCAAGAACCCAACCCTTTTTTGCTACGCCTGCCCAGAATATATAAAGCAGATAGTCTGAGACCGTGGGCCTCCCCTCAGACAAACCTTGGAAAAAGGCTAGTGGTCGATCGATATGGGTTTTTCAATGGCCAATACATAATGCTGATATCTAAACAAAGAAAAGTAATGTATAATTACATCATCCATGCAGAGTGCAATCTAATATACATGGGTATCTTAGCTATAAACATGGTGTTTTAGATGGAATTTTAATTTATTCACGAAATAGAAAAATAAATTGGGTTATGCTGTAGACTGTGACTGGTGTTTAAGGGAGAGTGGTGTATAGTTTGTCAGAAGTGACGGTGTTTACCTGCATTATTCTCAGTATAACAATATATATTTAATACTAGGCAGTAATGGGTTACATTTGCTGTCATTTAGGATTATATACAGGTCTTGTGAGTGCAGGAATCGGCTGATGCCGATAATCACAAAATGCCAGATATCGGCATAATAATCGCTCAGCCGTTTAATCGCTTGGCCGTTTAATCGACCTATCACTAAAGTCTGTCGGGCAGTTATTAGTTTCTGACTCTGGGAAAGTGGGAAAAACAGTCAAATTCCCCAAAACTACAATATCTTTGAACCATCTCTTTCTCCAAATTACACACAGTAAAGCTGTTCTATGATATCTCCTTTTGATAACTAATGCAATATTTTCACTGATCCTACCCTGAAACAGTTTGGAAACCCCTAGGGAGGCCCGTCTCCCACCTTGAAACCCTCTGCCGTAAGACATAGCTCCTGCTGTGGAAAGGGTATTGCCATATCTCTACCAGTGAACACATTTCTACTGTTGTACGTAGGGTGACCAGACGTCCCGAAAAACCCAGGACAGTCCCGAATTACGAGCAGTTGCCCCGACCCCTTTCCGGTTTGTCCCGAAAATTAGACCTAACATGAGTTTTGATCATAGCCTAATTAAACGTATAGGCCTACTTATTGTTGTATAGTTCTCTTGCTCCAGCAGGGGTTGCAGGTTATCTGTACATTGTGTCAACAGCGTTGTTTTAGCCACAAAGTATTTTTTAAGTATTTTTTAAGTTAATTTTAACTGTGGTGTCACTGTTGTATATTTGTTTGGAGAAGTCGAAGACACATTTCCACTAAGGTGGACAATAAAGTCTAATACAATCCACAGTTTTATTTTTCCTAATAACAGACAAGTGACTTCATGAACAAACATAAAGATTTTTTATATATATATATATATATTGCAATATAAACATCTAAAACTGAAGCACACACTTGCTCTGTTTAAGCAGAACTGCCAACTCTAACGCTCAGTGCGTGAGACTCACGCAATTGACACTTTTCACATGCCTTTTCTCACGCATTGGAAAAACTAATGTAACATTAGACTATAACTGATTGCGTCGACTCAGCGCAATTATACTCCACCCAGCTGATGCAACACCGGCGGACGCTGTGACAGGAATCAAGCGAACCCGGTCTCTTGCAGTGAGTGGAAGACAGTTTGTGATCGGGTAACATAGTTGGTCGAGTTTTGCAATATAAAAATGTATAATCTGAAGCACAGCCTTGATCCGTTGGGAATGAGAGCTGCACAGAGCTGCTGAAGTTAGCATGTAGATTTGTGGTGAAGTGTTTTCACTTAATTTCGTTTTGCACAGGTCTCATATATTGAGTCCCAAACGGGTTCTGTGTCTTTCTGTCGGTCTGGGATTCTATCTTATCAGCAGAACAAGTAATGAACAGCAGATTTTAGGGCGGGGAGATTTTGAAAAAATCAATTGTGATTTAATGATGACATTATTCTCATAAAAAGCCTTCTGGAGATGTCAGATTACACAATTATGTGGGATAGATATGCAGACAGTTTCTAACTGAATTAAATGGGTGGTGAGGTGAAAGGGTGCCACAGTTAAAGAGGAAATTCCCCAAACAAAGACAAAAAGAGGAGGGAAGACTAAATCATGAAAGAAATAGGCCTACAGAATGCTTGAAAGCCATACACCTACTGAATTATGTTCTGGTATATTTTATATTTTAAATAGTCACCTGCTGCCTGAGTTTTGAGTTTCTGTTGACATAGCCTAGATAAAAACATTTCCACCATAAAGTGATGCAGAGAAGGCAAGCACTGGTGCAGAAATTTTCACCAGAATGCAGGAAATTAAGTGTTTAATGCTAAAAATTTGATGGGGGAGGTCCCCATGACCCCCCCGCCCCATCAAAATAAATGGCTCCTCCATTGCTAAAGGGAACCTTACAACCTACACTGTTGCTTATTATGAACTAGCATATAATAGGCCTATTTCATACTTTTTCTAGAATTAAAATAAATACAGTCTCTGGTTTTGACACATATATTCTGGAGGGAAGACTCCCCAATACATGGTTTGGTCAACATTAAGGCTACCATGTCTGAGGGTTGGCTCTGATCTCACCATGATTATTGACATGGCTTTTCATCTACACATACAGTATGTGGCTGTGGCATGCACATTAAAGATTGATGACCCCAACCCCTGCGGTGGATATGACACAGAAGGCCTAAAATGAGTTTCGGTTTTCACCTCCTTGTTTCATCATAACATTTTCGACTAAAAGTGTGCAAAAAGCTTTGATTTCTCTCCATAGATAAAGATTGTCAATCAATGGCTATTCCTTTTAGATGGAACTTTTACTTCTGATCTGACTTCTCAAAGCTGTAGAGGAGGGATCACAATGACAGACAGACAGGCCCGCAGAGGCCGACTGAGCTGACTTGAATCCAGTCAGAGAGAGAGAGAGGTTCCTTGGAGTAAAGACAGAAAAAAGCACTCCTACACAGTCTGGCTCCGACAACAAGCTGACACCTCAGGGAGCCTACAGCCGTGGGCTGTGAAGGGATCGGTCTACGAACACTTTCATTTTCGGTCAGCTGCGTCTAAATCCACAACATCTGTTTATTTATATGCCTTAAGAAACAAATTAGATACACCAATTACTGACCGCAGTCACAATTATAACAAGACAAAAGTGAGTATTGTGAGTTATACTGGCATATTCTACAGGTGAGGATAGATTTGGAGGAAGGATTTAAATGTGATGGTGCCAGCATGTGGACGTGGACTCAAGCAAAAGTGCAACCTATTCACATTAAAAACAAGGTCAAACTCAATCAATCAATCAATCAACATTTGTATCCAAGTGATGCAGGTAGCAGCCAGGTATATCAACAAAATTTTCAAGTAGGTGCTGTATTTACACAGATTTCCAGCACAGATACTAGTGATCATTTCAGCAACTAGGCTATTCAACATCAAAAGTAGGCTTAAAATTAGTGCCGCAACTAACAATTATTTTCTCAATTAAATCAATCAATCAATTAAATAAGTGTTTGATCTATAAAGTATCAGAAAATAGTGACAAATGCCTGTTTTCAAATGTCCATTTTGTTTAACCAACAGCCTAAAAGCCAAAGGCAATTTACTAGCACATTAGACAAAGAGAAGCAAATCTTCCCATTGGTTGAAAAACTTGACATAGAAGCAAGCAAGCTAGAGACTTAATCCTTTTCACTGCATTTACAAATGTAATTGAATAGACCCGTGACTGATGCACAAGAGATAACATTACAAGCATACAGACTACGCTAACAAAACATGGCCAATCATAACTGAGTGTATTGATCCATGAACAGCAGCGTATTGGTGCTTTGGCTTTCGCTGACACCCAAAGTTGCTTTATCCAACAAAGACAAGCAGGCCAGCTGCCCAAGTTATGTGTGCCTGTGTGTGGTGAGGAATTCAGGTCAAGCTTGTAGTAACTGTAGCAGCACACCAATGGGTAAGCCTGCCGTTGCCATGGTAACCATGCTGGATGCTGCAGAAAAGGCCCTTGGAGGCAGAGAATCACAGGGGCATGAGGAATAGGGAGTTGCTGGGTGGATGGGAAGGATGTTGCCACACAGAGAGAGACAGAGAGCTGCAGCAAATCACAGGCCAGCATGTAACTCTGAATAATGTAAGTCAGGGAGGGGGTTGTGTTTTTTAATTTAAGTTATGTTGAAATATTTATTCACGGCTGTTAGGCTGAGTGAACATAAAACATGTCTTTTCTGCAAATGCAGGGAAAAGAATCCTCTTTTCAAGCAGGAAAATTAATTGTCAAAGTCATGTGCTCCACAGTGTACTGCAGATACTGAGCCTGCAATGCCAAACCCAGAGCATCTGTTAAGTGTCACAATATTTCAAACTCAAGGCTTTGAGTTTTTATAATAAAGCGCTATATAAATTATTATTATTATTATTATATTATTAATAATAATAATATAATTTATTGTTCATATACTCACATTCCTATAACTTGTTAACAAGTGATGAGTCAAAGTTTATTTCTCCTGAGTGGTTTGGAATGACACATTAAAAAATAAAAAATAATTTAAAGTTTAATATAATGAAAAGTCACGTTTTAACATCCATGATAAAAGTCCCCAAGGAAATATTATAGGTGTATCACAGCGATATAACCGCTTAGAAGAACTCTTATTACATATTAGTTTACTGATATCATAGGTGGATATAGCTCCACTACCACATGGTGAAGTCAAACACTACGAGTCCCAGTAGGCACATTACATGAACAACATTAAGTTAAGGGTAAATACGTGGGATACTTCGCCGCAAATTGACAGTAAATTAGTGACGTTTTGAGCGAAACGCATATGTTTCTGAATCTCACTCACATATCATAGGATACGCAGCTGTCCAGTCCTCATCCAGCTCTCGGTATTCACATCATATATTCCCATAAAAGCCTGAGCGGAGACTGATGACCGCGGTGTGTTTTAGGAAATATACAGACGGATGGAAATACTTGGTAATAGTAGCCCACCTCGTTCAAAAAGTGTAAAATACTAGTTTAACGGGGGCGTGAGCGGAAAAACCAAGTGAGGGCGACCGGGTTGCATCTGCGCCTACTGTTGCTGTGCCCTGTGGACCCCGCCCCTCTGCACGTGAGGAGGAGGAGGAGGGCAAATAAACTGGCCGGAAACTGGAACACGCTCATCCTCCACAGCAAAACAGGTAAAAATAGTACTCCAGTAACCTACAGTTCAGTTCACACACACACATACTATCTTCTCTATTATTTGATTCATCGTTTAGTCTCTAAAATGTTATAAAATGGTGAAAATTGCAAGCATTAAAGACCAAGGTGACTTCTTTAAATTGTCCATTTTATCCAACCAACAGCGCAAAACCATAAGACAAAGGAAAACGACACATCTTCTCATTTGAGAAGCTAATGGAACCAAAATGTCTGGCATTCTTGTAGGAGGAAACTTATGCCCCCTTTCCACCACATGGTACCAGCTCGACTCGCCTTGACTCTACTCGCCGTTTTTGGTTTTCCATCGGGGAAGAGTTGTACCTGTAACTGCTACCTGGTACCAAAAGGTGACGTGAAAACACTGCAGACCGCTGATTGGTCAGAGTGAATCGTCACTATTTACTGCATCATCATTGCGTGCGCCTGAGTGGGGCCAGCAACAGAATGTTTTTAGAATTGTCGTCATTGTCGTTATTTCATCACTAAATCCACTTCTGAGAAGTTTTGAGGCGAGAAATCCACTGTGTGGATTTTGAATATTGGCAGTGTTACGAAAATTGATGGCAGATCGAAAATGTGCTTAAACTTTTTCGGAGTTGAGGAGCTCCATAAGTGGCGGAGGGGGAAGCTCTCGCCAACAGTAGCTCACAAGGCCGGCCAGCCGCCTGCAGAGCCCTCTGCTTGTATAAGATAATTGCATTGTAACCGATAGGACATGTTTTAGGGGGCAGCTGTGGCTCAGGAGGTGGTATGAAATGCTAAAGTCAGCATGCAAACATGCCATATCCAACATGTATCATGTTCCCCTTCTTAGTTTAGCATGCTAACATTTGCTTATTAAGCTGATGCTTTTATCCAAAGCGAGTTACAATTGCTATTTATGTCTGGAGCAACTAGGGGTTAAGGGTCTTGCTCAGATACACATCAGTGGGGAGTTGAACCCGGGTCTCCCACACCAAAGCCATGCATCTTATCCACTGCCCCATCACCACCCCGTTAGCACACAAAGTACAGCTGAGGAGCATGAGTTGCATATAAATGTTAATCCACAAATAAGTTCACAAGTGTATTTCTGATG